TTGTGAATAAGAAGCAGGCGGCAGTATGTCCCGTAAATGTAAACAAACTTGTTTGTTTTAGCGATTGGCTGAAAAAGAAGTAGGACTGAGTAGGCTCTAAAGTTTTACATCGTTTGTTTTGTTTTTGAGTGCAGTTATGTAACAAAAATAATTCTACATTTGTAAGTTACACTTTCAAGATAGAGATTGCACTACAGTATTTGTATGAGGTGAATTGAAAAATACTATTTCTTTGTCATTTTTATAGTGCAAATATTTGTAATAAAAAATAATATAAAGTGAGCACTGTGCACTTTGCATTCTGTGTTTTAATAGAAATCAGTATTTGAAAATGTAGAAAAAATTCCAAAAATATTTAATAAATTTCAATTGTTCTATAGTTCAACAGTATGATTAATTTTTGTAATCGCAGTTAACTCAAAAAAATTAATTGTGTTTAATTGAGAGCCCTAGTTGCAATGTTATTGCTATTAACATTTCAAACAGCTTTTGGGAGTCAGAGCTGGTCTAGTAACTGAAGAGTTTTCATATGCTATGTTGTTTAATATGTGCAGTAAGGAATTATTTCTGCCCCCCAACAGTACACAAGTCTGACATTGCATTGGGAAGTCCTGGTGAATTAACTGAGAGTGACAGCTGAATCACCTAAACTAAAAGATGGAGTTGCATCCTTATGTGTATTTGTGAAAAGGTGGTATTCCCACCCTGCTTGAAAATGATCAACACTTCACTTGCTGTGTAGGTTCAAAACGTTCCCCCTTCCTGACATCTGGCTCTCTTAACAAGGTAATGCAACAAACTCCACCCAAGCCTTCTCCTTTGGTGTGACTGTTCTTATGAAAGATCAGCTCAGCCCCAGGCCCTAGGTATCTCTCTCCAGAGGGTATATTCCCCAGCTCCTTTTGATGGATTAATGAGCTGCACCTGCCACAATGAGTCAGTAGGAGGACAGGGAGCTGTGTTCCTTAGGTGCCACCAATAGTAGCTAAGCAAGCGCAGAGTCACATGAGCCGGGGTGCAATGCAGAGGTGGGCAAACCAGTCTGGGTAAAACGTGTGCAAACGTAATCTTCAGAGATTTTTTTTTTTTAAGTGCTTCTTTACTGGTGGGGTTTTTCCTTCTCCGTATAGTCCCTTACTCATTTGGAATCTTAAATGATTCTCTGTTCTTGTAAGTAGATGCATTTGTTACCCGTTAACATTCTGCTTGGGAATCAGAGAGGGGTCCTGAAAACTGCTGGAGTCGCTTACAGACCCTTATACTTTTGAAAACAAATTCATTCTCTTAGTTGACATGTCCTGGTTTTTCTCTGTTCTTTGATGCTTCAATATTGTTCTTTACTTTTCTGAAATCTCAACAATGCAGAACAAAGGAAACTGGCTGGTTATCTGCCTCCCATAGTCTTCCCTGTCACTCCTATGTGAGATTTCTAACAATCCTGCCCTCTTCTAGCAGAGAGTGTTCTCTCCAGCAGTTGTAAGTGGAAGCTACTGGCTGTGCCATAGGCTGAGCTCACAGGATATCTGAGTGGGAACCTGGACCTGTGTAATGTTCCCCTAATAAACACAGGAAATTCTTGAGTTCTTCAAGTCTGCACACACAGGCGTCTTGCACTGGCTGCACCCTTACAGGCAACTGCCCTTGGAGTTCACTCTTTACATCCACTCTTTTGATTAGCATCATCTTGTTAACCAAGCAGCAGGGTGTTTTCAGCAAAATGGAAGTTGATTGTTGCCCCATGATTCATTCTGCACATAGGCTGCTAGTGCCTTGAACTTCCTTCCTGTCATCAGCAATGAAACTGAGAAAAGAAAAATAAAGAGGAGTTGGTATCGGAGCTGCACAGCGAGAAAAAGGGCAGGGTGAACATAGCCCCAAAGCCACAGCCCGACTCCAACTAATACCCACTCTTCCTGGTGACTTTCCCTTGTAATTAACTCTAGGTTTTATATCTGCAGACAGTAATGTTCCATGCTTCACAACTGAATTAGAGACTCCCTTGAAAACCACATTGATGTTGACATCACAGCCTCGTTTATGGAATGTCTCTTTGTAACTAGGGCTTTTGCAAATACAAGTTCAGTTTGTAAGAGCCCTATCTTTGGGTTCAAGTTGTGCTTTCGCCCTCTTCTGTTCCTTGTATAAGCCTCTTTTCCACATCCCTATTTATGAACACCTGCCTCCCAAATGAGCCTCACAACTCAAATTCAGCCTTTGATCCTTTCCATCACACTGTGCCTTAAGCAAGATTGTGGTTGAAAAAGAGCATGCCTCAGCATACGTTTAGTTTCCTGGGGTGCTGTGTTATTATGATGCACTGACTGGCAGGGTTTGTTCATCATAATGCTGTTCATAACACACTGATGCAATTCTGCTCCTGCTGTGTAAGTGATCAGATTGTGCCCAATGGCATGTGTGTTCTAGGAGATTACGGTTATAAAGTGGGTGGGAGACAATAGATGCGTGTGTGCGCATGCACAATTTGCCAGCTCTGTCTCTTTCTGCACTTGCACATTTGGTTGACAGATCTATTTCAGATGTGAATCTTGCCGATTCTTTGTTTTAATTTTAAATTACTTTCATATCCTCACTTCACGCCCCTGCTACTGGGTGAAAGGAAGGACGGTTAATGTTCTGGCCTGGGGCTCAGGATGTCTGTCTTTTTACCCTAATCCTGTCACAAACTTCCAGCGTGACTTTGTGCAAGTCATTTAATCTATCTGTGCCTTGGCTCCTCAGTTGTCAAATGGAGATATTTTCCTCCCTTGTGAGGATAAATTCTTTAGTGTAGGTGAGGTGCTTAGATAATTATAGTGATGAATGCCATAGAAAAGGCTACTAATAAATAAATACTGTAGATTTGCTGGGTTTGGGGGGATTGTATGGAACAGTTACTCTGTTATATCCAATGTACCAAAACTCTAGTGAGCAAGTGTTGTGGCTTTTTCCTACCCATGCTGAGCATTTTCAACATTGGGTTTTGGTCATGTGATATCTGTCACAGCTAAAAATATCTTTGAGGACAAATATAGCAGTTCTTTGTGTGTGTGTGTGTGAGAGAGAGAGAGAGAGAGTCTGGGGCTGGTTTCCCACTGAACTCACCAGCAATGACAGAGACAATAATGTACTTCAGTCGAAAAAATGTATGTGTGTATTTTCAAACAGGGAACTTTTCAGGTGGTACACGTTGGCCTGGTGTCTCTGGCACTTACTATTGGTTTTTGATTCTGCCATTTTGCAGTTTGCCTTTCCTGGTTCTGAAAGCCGCCCGAAGTCAGCATGGAGTGGAGATTTGAGTGCTATCAGGCTGTCCCTACGTATTCCAAACCTGAGTGGTTGTCCATACATTTATCACCAAAAATAATATGATTTGCCTCCCAAGAGAAGAAGCAGAGTTCATTTATATGAAACTATCTGCTAGTAATTTGTTAATATGAATGCCAGATGGTACTGCCTTCTGATTATAGCTTGCAACTGGGAGAGGTCTCAGAAGCCTCATAGCACATAAAAAAGTAAGGATGGAAAAGTTCTATTGTCTGTGGTCACCTAGTCTGTCCCCAGATAGTGCGGGGATTGACAAACCAGACTGAATACGGTAAATAAACAATGACGTATCTTCCTTGGTCTGCAGCTTTGAGACCTGGACATAGCCGCCCCTGCCTCCAAGATCCAAGGCCCACAGCTTGAGACCAACAATGACCTGGAAATAGCCTTTGGATGAAGAGTTTACACGTGGCATTTCATTGGCTTCCTTCGGGACTGTGTCAGGGCATCTTGGCCCCTAGAATGAGGGTTTCGGGAGGGACTCAGTGAGGGCAGAGCTATGTATAGGCCACCACTACATTTAGGATCTGATTGTAAACAGCTGGCTAAAATAAATCGTCGCTAACTTTCTTTTCTAAGGAGACTGCTGTTGTATCACTGTCACTTATATTCTGGGTTCACATCACAATGGGAAAAAACCCAAACCTAATTCTAGAGATGGACCCAAACTAATACCCTGGTCTGAATGGCCTAGGATGCAGATCCAGAGAAGAATTTTGCAAATAGCCCTGCCTCTATAATAGGCCAAACCAACACCCTAGCTCTGAATATGCCCCAAACTTGGAAGTGTTTGAAATTCACATTTGGTTCTAATTTCTGCCTGATTCCTGTCTGTAAAGATCCCTTGCCCCTTCTCTCTGCACACTAAAGCTCACTCACTCCAGAGGGCTGAAAGCTGAGGGGGAGTCCCACAGGCATTTCTCAGCCCCTTACCCCTTATTCACTTTCTTCTAGCCTAGGAGCTGATGGGTGTTTGTGTTTGGTGAGCCACAGACAGGTCACTGAGATCTGATGGGGCGAGGCACTCTTTCCATTCCCCTGTGCTATGAGCACAGGGCTCTCAGGTCTTGACAATATGGGGAGCTCTGGGGCTGGATTCCTATTTCTCCTTCCCCTACCCCGACCCCGCATGTTAGATCATGACTGAATCTCTGTTTTATTGTAAAAACCCCACTCTGCACCTTTTCAATGCAGTGGTAGAGGTGAGGGAAATGCCCCTTGAGTGGGGCTACTGGGGAGGAGATGCTCAGTATGGAATATAAGGGCTTGTGGGTGCAGCTTCTGTAATTTTCCTCCAAAGACCACCCCCGCCCCCGCAAATATCTCCTTTTCGTGCCCGCCTCGTTATCTTTTCTGCAATATAAATGCTGCATTTCAGTTGATCAGATTATATAGACTTGACTGGGGTTTGTCATACCATCTACCAATGTACACTTCTACTCGTAGGGCTGAAGGAATAAGGAACCTTCCCTGCTTTCTGAAGGGGACTGCTGCCCTGCATAGCTCTGAATTCAGGTACAAATGGCTTGCCTGCAGGAATTCCTCCTGGTATGATGGAAGTATAATATTTCTCTTTCCCTTGAGAGAGAGAGAGTGTGTGTGTGCGCACATACATGCGTGTGTGCTAAATGCCAAAGCGCTGGTAAAGCCAGCTTGTTCCGTATGTGAATCATTTCTCAAGCAGCTCTCTGTGTCTCGTTGCAATGTGGTTTTCCTCTCAGGGAAGCACTAAAGCCCTGAATTCTCAGTCTGGCTTGCACATGTTGTCAGAGGCTAGCAGGAGACAGTTTTCCTTTTAATACAAGGAGGAGAAAAAGCCTTCACTGTAAGTATTTAATCCTCTTTTTATTTGTAAGGTGGGAACTGGATTCTTCTCTAGTGGGCTTTAGTGGACAGAAGTGCATTCTTGCAGCAAAGCAGACTGCCTTGCTTAACAACACCTGGATGTAATGTCTGACTCTAAATAAAACTAGATTGGATGAAGCACTAGAAGATGCACTGTAAGGAACACTGCTGCATTGGCGGGGAGCTGGGTTGGATGGTCTATTAGATGTTAACGATAGAAAATGATCCTATGAGAACTGGCTACTGTGTATTTTTCTGTTTAGCTGCGTGGAGCTGAGCTAGTGACTGATGGGCTGAAGCTGTCATTCTGCCTGCCTCGGCTCTCTTCCTGTTGGTGTTCAGTGATGTGTTCTAACAGCAGGGTTAAACAGGAGCACAAATAGGTTTCCCCAACCCTGCTGCTGAGATTGTCCAGTCAAGAAGGGGCCAGGCTGCTGTGCAAGCTGCTTCAGAAAAAAATTGGCAGTTACCTCGTCTGCAAGGGGAATGAGTACAAATGTTGGGGAGCGTGGCCAGATCTGTGCTCTCACTCCACCAAAGAAGGGGGTTGCTGAGACTCTCAGAAGGAAGCTCCAGTTTCAACAGTTTAGTAATTGGCCATCAAATGTGCTTTGAGCTGAATCTTGATGGTAATAGCAATCATAATAATACGCAGCACTTGTATTACAGCTTTGCAGAGCTGTACAAATGCTAATTAAGCTCAGTGTTTGTAATGAAGCATTACAGGCGGAACTGGACAGGAAATGGGGACTCTTCCCCCGCTTTCCCTCATCAGCACAATCTAATTCTCTCTCTAGATGTCACCCCTTAACATGGTTTGTGTGCCTCTACTCCCTACAAACTGGAAATTATTCTGTTGTCAATCAGGGTCTCAGTTGAGAAGGGGATATTTGATTGTTCTTCAGTGGTGTGATTCTGCTGATTACTTAGCCCTGGTCTACACTGAGGGGGATCAATCTAAGTTACACAACTTCAGCTACGTGAATAACATAGCTGAAGTCAACGTACTTAGATCGACTTACCGCGGTGTCTCCACCACGGTGAGTCCACTGCTGCTGCTCCCCCGTCGACTCCGCCCGCACCTCTTGCGGCGGCGGAGTACAGGAGTCGACGGGAGAGGGCTTGGGGGGTGGGGGTGGGGTCGATTTATTGCGTCTAGGCCAGATGGAATAAAATCGATCCCCGCTGGATCGATTGCTGCCAATGATTGAGAGAGACCCTGTCCTGGATCAGCTCCTGTTGCAACACCTGAACCAATGTTCCCTCTAATTGTTGACAGGCCATGTGCCCCAAAAATTTCTTCTGTGCAAATTGTTGTTTGCATGCAGTGTTTTGCTGTGTGCATGGGGTTTAGGATCTGTGTGCGCGTGCACACACGCACAGCTTAGAGGGAACAGTGACCTGGACCCCACTGTGTGATTCCATGGGTTTCACAGCTCCCTGGTGGTTGGCAGGCCATAGCTTGCAAACCCCTGACTCTGATGTTTGAATCCATTCGGCTTTGTTCATCTCTATCCACATGCAGAATGAATAATTTGAAAATGCAGAAGTCTACTGGTTTCTCTTGCAGTTTTAGAGTTCACAATGGCTTCCTCTCTCCAGTGAAACCTTTCTGCTAGGATTTCACAACACTGACAACTAACAATTAAAAGTTCAAAAGGTCCCAGTTAATTAACAGGCTACTGTGCACATTTGCAGAGCACAACCTCTCTGCCAGGCAACTTTCAGAAATTAATGATTGCTATGCATCACCGTGAGGTGTGTGCGTAGAATAGAGATTGTGATCACCTATGCATTGTGCGTGGGAGAAGTGGACTTGCTTTTTTATTTTTGTTTGGCTTTTCCATGGGGCTCCTCACCAAGGTACATGAGGATTTATCCTATATCCCAGTTCATCTTCCCAAAACGCCATCTTCAGATGACCAGTATTATTCCCATTTTATAGATGGGGAATAAAGGCACAGAAAGATCCTGTGACTTTCCCGAGGTAATACAGGAAGTCTGTGGCAGAGCTGGGAATAGAATTAAGATCTGAATCCCAATCCATTGTCTTGACTACAAAATCATCCATCCTTTGCCATGTCTCATGCATGTGGTGGGCAGGTTGTCAGGTATTTGTGTGCTATGTTTCTCTTACAACCTAGATAATGTGTTCTATGGCAGTTCCTTCTGTTCCTTCTAAGTGCATCTCTGCCTGTACTCTGCCAGAAGGTGTAATGACATGGCATTATCAGGCAAACCCACTGTAATTACTCTTCCTCTCTTTAGTAATTACATAACTGTGTCCTGTGTAAAATAGAGCATCCTTCTCTTTATTGTGGATTGGTAAGACATGCAATGTTAACCCTCCGTGTCTCATCCTCCACTTGCTCCAGTCACGGGGGTAGCAGAAGAGGATTAACAAGAACCAGCTACCTTCAGATGGCTCTGATAGCCCCTTTGTTCTCAAAATGTACCTGCATTATACCACACCAAGGTTAAACCCATCTTCTCAGGCCAGGAAGGTGTCGGGGATAGCTCTGAGTGGTTTAACTTTTTTATGGCTAAAGGCTGATTTTAAACTCCCAACAGCTTGGAAATTCAGAATCAAGGCTCAACCTCTATCTTTCTTTTGACCTCCTGTGCCCTAAGTCTCAAAGTAATGGCTGATTATACACACCGTGTAAGCTGGGACACCTATCGTCTGGAAGCTATGAGCCGAGATGATGCGGTAGTTGCAACTGTACAGATTCTTCTGGTTTCTCTAGAGTGAGATCACTCCTTGAATGTAGAAACCTGTTAATTTTAGTGTGGTTTGATGAAATTTAGCATTAACTGGGTAGCCTTTATATATGCACACAGGTACAGCCTCTGTGTTCCTCTAAGCACAAGCACACCCAAAAGCACATTCTCCCCCCTCCCTCTTTGCTTTGTTGCCTTTTTCACGTGCAGCTGTCAGTAACATGTTGAGCACAGAGTTGCCACATTCAAGTCTAAAACCCTGCCCTGGAGTAAGAAAAAGGATCATATCAGTTCTTGCCCAATCAACCTTATTTAGACTACACCTATAACTTCTTAACCAATTAATTTAAATGTGGTGGTCTGTTTGTTTGCTGATTGCCAGTACAAATCAGTGCTTCAAGAAGCCCACCATCTAGCTGGTGGTGATTGTCTTCTTATAGGATCAGTGCTGACCAAATCTCTGCTAGCTTATGCGTTTTTTATCTCTACATTCCCCCCAGTGATCAGGAGGCAGAGGAAAGTGCCTGGGTGTCTCCGAGGTACCTAAGCCTAATTGAGTTCTGATCTAGGACAACTCCATGTGGTTTATCTGGTAAAATAGCAAAGCTATATTTTTCCTGTGGCTTGTAAATGTCAAGAATGTGGACCCAACACAAGAAAAACAGAGCTGAATAAATCCTCTGTCCATTTGCACAAAACTAGGGTTTTATTTAAACTTTGTTTCCTTTCTTATGTCTAGCTGGAAAATGGGATCCAGTTGAGAACAAGAAACCCATAAGCCCAAAACTCTCGGGAGACGTTCTGTGGTGATGGGACTTGGAGACAAGGCAATTCTCTTTTGTTATTTGCCTGACTGTCTCTGGTAAAAATCACTGATTAGTCATAGTCCAGGTCTACACTGAAAAGTTATGTCGACCCAGCTGTGTTGCTTAGGGGTGTGAAAAATTCATATTCCTGAGCAACATAGTTAAGCTGACCTAGCCCCTGGCATAGACAATACTAGGTTGACACAAGAATTCTTCTGTTGACCTATCTACTGCCTCTCAGGAAGGTGGATTAACGACAGCAATGGGAGAACCCTTCCTGTTGCTGTAGTGTCTATGCTGAAGTGCTACAGCAATGCAACTGCAGCTGTGCCGCTGTAGCAATTTAAGTGTCGACGTAGCCTTAGTCTTGAGAAAAGAGAAGGGATTTTATAACAATCTTCAAATATGTTAAGGACTGTTCTAAAAAGGACTGTGATCAATAGTTCTCCATGTCCACTGAAGGTAGGACAAGAAGTAATGGGCTTAATCTGTGGCAAGGGAGATTTAGGTTAGATATTTGGAAAAGCTTTCTAACTATAAGCGTAGTTACGCTCTGGAACAGGCTTCAAAGGGAGGTTGTGGAATTCCCATCATTGGAGGTTTTAAGGAACAGGTTGGGGACATACCTGTCAGGGATGCTCTAGGTTTATTTGGTCCTGCTTCAGCACAGGAGGCTGCACGTGATGATTTCTTGGGGTCCCTTCCAGCCCTACAATCTATGATTCTATGACTGATGACCCACTGGTGACTGCAGGAAGGATGTGTTTTATTGTGTGCAACACTGAATCCATCCAGAGATTGGAATTGCTGACCTGGGCTTTGGAAGTAGTAATGGGATGGTTTATTTGAGGCGGTGACCAGGTGCTCGACATTCATGGCTGGTTAGACCTTTCTCTGCCCAGGCCACTCCTGATTATAACATACTGGTGAGGATTGCATAATGCCAGTAAATAAATATCCCCTTAAGGATAAATGATAGGAATTAGACTAGGAAAAGAACAAGATCAGCCTTAAGCGCAAGTCAGACAAGCAACTGCTGGAGACTCTGCAGTAGCCTCATAGCCTGTTTAGCTCCTCCCTACAATGCAACCACCCACCCTCAGACAATTAGACCTTGTCTCTGGGGGCTCCAGAGTAGTTTCAGTGTTCAAGAGTGGCTCCATGTGATACTGTGCGGGGAAAGGGAGAGTAATGGGCAATGTGGAGGGGCTCTTTACACTGCAGACCAAGGATAGCATGCATGAAGGGGATTCTCAGAGGACTCCATATGGTGGTCTTCTTGTTTGCTCATGGAGGTAGAGGGCTCTTTTGTGGCTTTCAGTAACCATAGAGTTAAGCATAATATAAAAACCTAATAGGTAGTGACTTCCATGAGGGAAAGAAGTCCTTGTACAACCCTATAAAGGATGTCACATGTGACCCTAAACTGCTATGTGGGAGCCACTGTGGGCTG